AAAACGTTATTTTATTCGTTTAAAAACTTACGGCTATACAAATGTGACTCCAAACAGTAAATGGTCAGGAAGGCCAATACGAGTTGTTACTGTAAATACAATTCTTAAAACGTCAAGACGACAGACACTTTTATTATTTTATCTTTTTCTATATACATAGGTAATTTATCACTTACATATATGGTTACGCTATTCACCCTTCAAAGAACTCGTTATTCAGATTTTTTTAGCTTAGGAATGCTGGTGCCGAACAAGTCAACTTCGTCATTTGATCGCGAGATTTTATTAAATCCTCGTCTAATGAAAAAGAGTTTTGACGATAATTGGAACTCACTTTGGGAACATGGAAAGTCCGCTAAAAAGGAGTGTTTACGCAAATCCAATTTTACCCAAGCTAGGACAATCGACTGAGCCATTAGCAATACCAAAGAGCAAAGCTTGATCAGCCACACGTATTTATTTCATATTTTCTTGTTTATTTCTCCGGCTTACTAAGGTTAGGTGTCTGGAAGAAATTGCCATTGACAATAATGCCTATGCACTATATTTTAAATAACTAAGTAATACCATGTATATATTTATTTTTACAATAAAGAGTTTATTATAAGTAAAAAAGCTATTAATTTTCAATTTTCCTTTCCGCTGTACTAGTAGTTTTACAGTATGTAAATGCATGGATGTGTTCCATTGAAGTATATACGTGTATATACATTATACATTCAATACATTGTAATGGGCGGCCCCTGGACGCACGCCATCCTATTCCCCGAAGAGGAAATCGTTACGGCCGGTAAATTGGAAGCTAACCACTACGTTCGAATGACCAACTCGACACGCAGATGTATCTATATATTTACTTTAAATAACGAAATTCCTTAGACAATACTTTTAAGATATAAAAAAATCTAGCGTGGGTATTTCAAAGGCGTCCTTAGTCGCGTATATGTAAACCTATAAAGAATTATGCACTTCTGTTTTGTTTTATTTTTCTAAAAATTTTTACTAGCTGTGCCCGCGACTTCGTCCGCCAGGATTAGTGACTTGGGGTAGAATTGTTAATTATTTGGGCTGTTTATTAATTTATGTAAGGGCCCATTTAAGGCAGCCACTCTATGTTGTAAACGCTACTTTGCCGCAACACTCTCGCCTCACAACACTCCTACTCTAACTCACTCACTCTCATTCCTACACTCACTCCCACTCTCACTCGTATCCCCAAAAAGCCAAGATAGTTTCATTGTTCTTTCTACCTTCAAAAACCACATATTTCCATGCAAACTTTCATCCCCCTTTTCAACTCTTTTTTGGCTTTAAAAACTATTTAGACACTGAGAAAAGACATAAGCCTTTCTCAGTCTCTAAAAATATCTGTGTACCAAATTTCATTTTAATCAGTTCTGTAGCTTCGGTGTTAAAGCCCGACAGACAGACAGTTACTTTCGCATTTGTAATATTAGTATAGATTTGTTCTTATTGTTTTAATTTAACATTATGTTATGTGTAGGTTTATTGCGCATTGCTCACTACATGTGTAATGTGTGTATGTTTATATGTTTGTATTGGTATACTTCAAATGTCAAGCGTGAAGCATATCAGAAAATCGGCGTTGTTCTTCCAGGTACAACAAAAGCTGAGTGGTGTCTCTACACATTTATACGTATAATATCTGTGTTATCTCTTGTTTAGTTATATGACAAGGTACCTGACATAGGCTGCAGATTAACTGCCTTAGGTATATAAATCAATTTGAATATCTGAAATATATTTTTTTAGTCTCGTGTTTTACACGTTAGTTAGGTAGTGATGAAGAGATTTGTTTGTATGTATTTTGAGCTTAAAATTAAAACTTCACAACTGTAAATGTTAAAACATTGTACGTTTATTAATTTGAATGTAAACTAAGCCACATATTTCCTAATACCTTTTCATGTCTAACAAGCTTTATGGTAAAAAAAAGCTTTTACCCATATACCATAGAACTACCGATATTAATCCGTTATCAAGATCGTCGGTAATCGAATTGTTTCTACGAAGCTAGAAAGTTCCATTAAACCAATCTCCCCTAACCCTTCAAATAGGTTATAACAATAAGTGAAAACACATGAAATTAGGAAAACTGCTATTTTATAAGCTCTCAGATTTCAATGAGTATTCTGTAAATAGCGCCATAAATAAATTCATAAGTAGGCTATGCTCGGGATTTTATGCGTTTTTAAAGGGGAGCCAGGGGATACCGGGAAAGTGAAACGTGGCGTAAAACCTCCCCTGCCGGAAAACAACAGGGTGGGATACACAGCTTGACAAACTTTAAATTATCTTCGCATAGAAAAATACCATTAGCTTTTTTCCTCTGCAGGCAGGAAGGAAGTTTACTTTTCCTAACAAAATATGCTGTTCGTTAAATATAATACACTAGAATTACGGTCTTACATTTGTAAAACCATTAGAATTGTATAGTATAGAGACACATGAAAATCATATTTAAAAATACAAAGCTTATTGCGGTCACTACAGGCAGAATGGCCTAAATGCCTTTGTTGACTTGAGTTATTTACGTTTGAAAACTTTAATATTTTGCGCATGAAGGCACAATGTAATTTAAAAATCGAAAATAAATTGAAAAAATTTTCGACGCGGGCAGGACTTGAACCGGCATCGTCAGCGTCAGCTGTTGCTCTACCAATTGAGCTACCGAGTCAGTTTATTTTCGATTTTTAAATTGAGTTATTTATATTTTCTTAGTCTAAAGATGTTAATCTACAAGAGCACAGTGACCGAAAATTGTCAACATAATGTTTAAATACAAATATTAGTACTAATTTTCGCCTAAGTTAATTGCACATTTTTATTTTCCTCCTTATTGAAAATCATGTTATTTGTTATTAGGTCACTCTGGCTCTAACAGCAATTTCATTTTTAAAATGGAAACTGAAACAAAGGCACTATAATCTGTCAAATTTCCGCTAGTTGAAATGTCCATTTAGCACGACAGGAAACAACACACTTCCAAAGAAATTACATTTCATCGTCCGTCCGTCCGCATACGGAAAACGTACCGAGAATTTTAATTCGAAACCCAGACCCGTACACATTAAAATGGGTTTAACCGCCAGCCGTTCCATTTTCGAAAAAAATAAAACAAAAAAGGCGCGATCCCGCCATACCTCCCGGCGAACCGCAAATTCCGCTGGAAAAAATCGTATTTCGAACGCGGTTTGAATTTTAAATTGACGTTCAGCGAGAACCGCTCTCGGGCGAGGATTTCGTGAACATTCCCACTTCACTGGATGCATTAGGGTAGCACTGTAATATCCAAGCGTGCGAGGTTCAGAAGTTACAAACTATTAAGCTGACATCCGACTTATCACTATCATAAACAGATGTGGCGAAGAGCATAAATGTACACATCTACATATTCACTGTTTATCTCCTTCGCTATACGTGATCCGGGTTGTTCTACATAAAATAAAGCCAAGTCTTATTTTACGAGTACTTAAAATAAGTTTTAGTTACGTAGGCACTTTAATTAAACTTTCTGGAAGCCAAAACAAGCCGTAATTAAAAATATTATATTCAATCAATATTATTATTATAGCTAATATACAAGTACATTGCATATAAAACCTACTTATAATGACTAAATTTATAGCAATATTATAAGCTTTAGAGTTTGTTTGTTTGTTTGAACGCACTGTTCTCAGGACGTACAGGTACGAATTGATTTATTTTTTGTCTATTACCGGCCATTTACCGAAGAAGGCTTTATACTATTATGTTTCAAACAATAATTGTAAAAAAATTGTGAAAAAGAATGTCCGCATATATGTCCAAGAACGACAAACCGCGGACGACGACGTGGGTAATAGCTATTATATAAGCTGAATAGGTTTGCTAAAATAAATTTTGATGCCCACAATAACTATGCCACGCGGACGTCGCGGGCACAGCTAGTGAAACAATAAACTAAATTGTAACCAAGGTCTAAAATATAGCCCACATCTGATAACGTTGCCACAATTTTCATCCACAATTTCCATTACACACACGTAATGTCCTCTCATCGCATTTTTCATTCGAACATTACGCGTTCATTACACCATCATTCTCGGCTGTAGCTGAGTTCATGACAATTTTAATAACTTCATTGTTGTCGACATTAGTCTATACTGCATGATGGCCGCTAAATTATAATAAACAATTTCGTGCGCTCATTATCCTCCTCTCATCACGGCTCGGCTCGAAATTATTCGACACAGTAATGTCGAACGTCGACAAATAATTGCCGAATAAACCGCGTCTCGACCGCTCTTTGTTTCGTAATTATTATTAATCGTGCGTTGGGTTCTTAGCATTGGCAGTTGGAATACACCGTTTGTTAAGTAATTGTAATCGTAGACAAGGATTTGAAATAATTTTAGTTTCACGAGCACCCTTTTAGTCAAACATCAATTCATTCATTTAATATACCATAATACAAAATAACCACATGAAGGTAATGAAATACATTAAATTTTTTAAATTATAATAGATTTTTAATTCATATAGAGCCATCATGTAAAAAATATTAAATTAAAAAAAAAATTGTTGTATGAATACCACTCGCCATTTTCAGTGATGTAAAGTGTCTTATATAGTAATAAATAAAAATGTTTCAAATTCATAACACGCATGGAACTACTTATATTATATTGAAAAATCCTCAATAACTTGTTATACATATATATGTTGTTGTTAGTTATATTAATTAGAGAAAATAATTCGTCATCCGACGAATTCCATTTTCAAATACGCTAATATCTCAAACCGCAAATACGATACATTAAATGTAGTATTTATTTATGAAGAAATAATTATGTTTCAGATACCATGTTGTCGCAACGGTGCACCGTGAGAACCGCTATTAGCCACGTAACACAGATCAAACGCGAACCAAGATGCTAGCGCGAGTCGCCAAGCGTAGAGCCAAGTCGACCAACGAATGAACGACGCCAGAGTCAGCTATGCAAGAGATATGCAACACCACGCTGCCTCTCGACAGTAACCCACTAGTGCGTAAGATAAAATGCGAAGAGTTCCCCGTGAGGGCAAAGCCTACGAGACTTGGTATGGGGGTGCGCGATGAGATGGACGAGGAGTTCGCAGTCAAGGCGAGAAACACGCCGCCGATGGGACCCGCGCCGCAAGAGCACCGCATGGAGCACGGGGGCAACGGCTTCTGGCTGGCCGCGGTCACGGCCGCTGGAGCCCCCCACCCGATGCTGGAGACGTGCACGGAAACCGGATTTATCAATAGCCAGCCCTCCATGGCGGAGTTCATGACGGCTCTTCCGCAGCTGGGAGGGGGGGAACTCAGTCCGCAACATACTCCACCCGGGTACGGGCCAGATTTGCCTTCGCCCGGCGGTGGCCTCAACGTACCCGAGTATCCGTGGATGAAAGAGAAGAAAACTACGCGGAAGAGTAGTCAACAAGGTAAGCTATCTTGGATTAGGCATAATGGCGCAACAGTTGTCGATATATCTCCACCGTTTCGTGAGCCCCAGAACTAGAAATGATTATCGTCATTATGCCTTTCAACGGTCGCAAATGGCCATTCAACCATTGTGTTCTGGTTCACGGTCCCAGAGTTTCTTTAATGAACGTCAAATTACACTGGAATATATTGAATTGTTGCGACGACATCTCGTGTTGCTAACCGGTCTAAGTTTGTGGGATTTTCTCGTGTTGTTTGTGCGTCGCCCGCGCCGCCACACTCCGTGTAACGGAACGAATATTCGACATGCACTATAAACACAAATTATAAGTGAGAACACTTTAGAACATAATTTTTACGCATCAAATATGTAGCCGGCGATATTTATTCTCTAAGTAAGTCCATGTTTTAATAAATTTGCATTAAATAATAGAAATTTATTAATTTGAATAAATCTTTAGCTTTATAGGGACTCTAGCTGTGTCCATCATATTATTTATTTTTCAAACAACCTAATAAGCTTTATACATTATAGCTGTCACCCACAACATCGGCCGCGTTCCGTCGTTCTTGCGAGTTAATCTTAAAGAAGAATAATTCTTGTACGCTTACTGTTTGAGTATCGGAAATCCTTAAACGTAAATAATTTATTTCAATTTTTCCACATTTGATAAATCCATCCAACACAATAAAAATTGTTCAATTCGAACCAACAAGTAGTTCCTGAGATTAGCGCGAACAAACAAACTCTTCAGCTTTATTAGCATCTATAGATAAATACATTATGGATTTCTTCTCTTACAATACAATGAACCATATTGGTTGGCCAATTGTAATCTGTAAAAAATATTTAAAAAGTACCGGTGGCTTCCGACAAAAGTTCGTATTTAGCTCACAAAACGATTGACCCCAAATTTGTCTCTGGGACAAAAGAGAACAGAATGCGGCTAGATGATCCATCAACATCCGTCGTGAGAACACGACCTCACCTGGCACTCATGCGTCATTCGAACAATACAATTACGTATTAGAATAATATCAATGTATTTTCCGATTAATTAATAGACGACAAAAAATAAGAAAGAAAGGTCGTGTAATATAAAAGTGTTCTTAAGTTAGCGCAAATCAAATAGGCAACTATATAATTAACGACAATAAATGCAATATTTTACAATTACCTACCTAAAGGTTTAAACGAAACGATCGTCAATGTCTTTGTATGCGGTTACAGCGGTAACATACAATATTGAAAACAAAATAACTGCATACAAAAATTATTATTTTGCTTCGATATCAATAAATAATATAAGATTATATTAAAAATAAAACACTGTCAACGCTTTAAAACGTTGCTTTGCAGCAGCTGTGTACGCGAATGGATACCTGGCCACAGCATCCGAAATATCTGGCCGTTGTTAAATTAAGTTATCAAATGTATTACGCGTTTTAAACCGTTAAAAGTGTATATTTATTAAAAATACTTCTCCCGCTAACTACAGGCAATTCTAAACACGTTTAACACACAAGGAGGCAAAATAAAAACACACATTTTGACCTATGCTATCGTGCATGTTCCTTTTTGTAGGTACACTAGCAAAATCTAAGCTATAACTTATTTAAATTACTTATATTATCGTTTATTATTATTTGCCACTTTCGTTGTGTTGATCCAATGAAAGCTTGTTGTCGAACAGAAGCACTGCCCCCCGGAGAGCACCCCGGGGGCTCTCGTCTTGTACACTGGTAACTATTCATAACTTGTATTAAAGCTTTTTGTACAAGGATTTGCATATTTAACAGACAGGTGTAAACAAATAAAACAAGTATTCAAAGTTGTCGTGAAAATATTACTTATACTTTGCAAAAACCTTAAGTGCTTTCTGAACATGAGTTTAAATAAAACGTTTCAAACAGTTTAAAGCGCGAAATATATTAGGAACTAAAATTTATGTAAATGTTTATTTAATTAATTTTGTTAATTTAACTACGTTTAACGTTTTACACTGTTTATAGTGTTTAATTAAAATCTGTGCTCTTCTGTGATACTTAATATTAATATTTGTTTATGTTAATTAGAAATTCATAGATTGAAAAATACATAAAATAACATTGCGAGAGAGGTGCAATTATTAGGGTTCTCTTCAAACGAATAACTAGGTGATGTGTTTGAAGAGCAGCAGCAAAGCAGCAGTTTTTAAAGCTGTGGATGCCAGTTCATATCTCGTCCCAAAAAAAATATAAATAGGGAAGCACACAGAAGACACTCAACTCTTTGCCTTTCTGGAAATGTAAAACGAACATAAAAATATGTCTGCCCGACGCTACGTAGGTACTCATACAGAAACTGGGATTCAAGCCCCCAAGCTCCATATTAAAAATATAGAAATAAATTATGTTATATTTAATGTATACACAGTAGTGTAGTTCGAATTAAACATATGTTGCAATAATGTGATCAAGTAATCAGCAATATGTGGTTTCGTTTATTTCAATTATCAGCGTAAATATTTTAGTAAGGATCGCTGTTGTCGTGGGTTCAATTCCGGCCTGTGAAATCCAACTTTTTCAATCTTATATATAATTATGATCGCGTCAGTGTTCTATATTCGTTTTAATCAAAGAATAATCGTATTAAACGCGAGCGGCAATAATAAAACAGCGGAGACGTTCGCGAGATATAGTTTAGCTCGGGCCGTGAACCGCTACCGGGAGCGAACATCCATCACTGTCGATGCACGCCCGTCGCCCGTCTCCACTATGCAACGCTTTTGTACTACGGATATTGGCTTTGCTAACTTTTGACTGATTTCTTAAATCGAACGTTGGACGTTACCTCTGCTACGGCTTTTGAAATACACCTTTTAACTGTGTCTTTATTCGTATTAAAAAATAACGGTTTAACTATTAATAATATTTTAATTTTTTTAATATTATATACATCTCGCGAACATTTTACACACTGATTACTGTAATGTCGAAAATTTGGTGGCATCTTGATATCGTTTGTTTTTTTTATACTCCAAGTAGACGTAGAAGTTGATGCTAGATGTACTTCATCTTTTAACATCTATATATTGACTTTGACATTCTTGAATGACAGACCGACTTAGATGTATAGATTTACACTATACAACTTTTTCATTTAAGGACGATCGTGCACCCAGAAGAAATTTAAACATTCTACAGCTCTCCTCAGATTTTCTAAATAAAGTCCATCATGATTCACAATTAACAAGCTGATTTTAGACATATGTTGGACCTGGTGAGAATCGAACCCGTGATCGTATACATATATCTACCATTAAACGAATTATAAATCTTATTAACTAATAACTTCGTAAATTCAAATTTCGAATTCGTTCTTTCTGGCAGTGTGTTTGAAGCGGAATTTATAGGCAAGGTATCTAGGGACGTGAAACAAATCGTTCCCGCGACCACGCCTCTGTCTCGGGAATCGAAATTAAAACGAACGCCCTGACACAATCGATCATTTCGATTCATCTTTAATACAATGTATTTTGCACTCAATTTGTACGGGCCGCGCTTGAGTGACGTGCGATGCGAGTTTTAATCTCGACTTCTTTTGCGATTAAAATACGGTGCGTGGCGAATTGTTTGTTTTCAGATTATTAAGGGCTAACGACAATACACGATGAAAGATATAAAATGTTTATTTATTTTCGACGGGCGCGCTGGTGTAATGGTAGCGATATATATAGCTAATACGGTCGACGGGTCACAGATCGATTCCCACCTTATCAACATTTTTCTGAAACATATTGGACTTTCGAACTTTGGAAACTTCGTCTTGTAATCTGGATATTAAATGAATGAAAATGTTGTCATTTGAGTTGAATTGCGTTTCGGTCCATGGATTTTCGAATATCCAAACAAAATAACTCGACAGCGCTTTCTGTTTAGATGCTATATGGCTTAGATATTTTACCTTCCGTCAAGTGAAGCTTGTCTGTCTTACTCAATAAAAAAATGTATATGTACATAAAACAAACACAGCGACAAACAGCCCGATAAGTCAACGTCAAGCGCTATACTTAAAATAAATATAATAATAAAATAAAACAAATAACGAAGGAAATCATATTTTATATGTAGGTACATAAATATATCATGTATAACAATTAAATACGGAAAACTAAGATGTATTAAGCTACTGCCCATGTGCTATTTCCTCTTTGACTCACTCAATTCCCAGGATCTTACCCTATTCTAACTTGGTTCGCATTTCAACGATAAATATCGCATAGTTTTATGCGTATAGATCCACCACGCTTTCCAGGAGTAACTTTTAGACTATGCTCTGTTGTGGTAGCGGAGACGATGGCCAGGTTATCAGTCCATTGTTACAACTCCTACGTGCAATCTCCCGGCTGTTACATCAAACCCTGGAAATGCGAAACATCGTACTACCACGTCGTCCGATCTAGGATGTAACCACTATTAAAGAGGCGATTAAATACTGTCTGTAGTTTACGCAAGTAGTACACATTTAAATAAAACACTTTAACGTTTTAAAAGAGATATATTTTAGTTAAACTTTTTAATGTTATTTTAACTACGGCCACGTTTGGATGGCTTGGGGGGGGGGGTTTTTCCCGTGGCTTTACCACAATTTTTTTCTTTAAATTGATTGTTATGTAGCAGCCATGGTCACCGGTGGACTATAATGAATATAAAATGTTTAACTAAAATATATCGCGTTTTTAACCGTTAAAATGTTTTATTTAATAGAGGCTATTATCATATATTATGACGATACTGTATAGCATACAATCATCTTAATGACACGCGAAATCAATTTATGAAGTGTTCATAACAAAAGTTGTTTACACTTTCATTTTCGCATTCTGTTAAAAAAAACAGAGCGAATCGTATCTAATAGAGCAAGCAGGTAGTTTTATCTCCTTCGTAGCTGGAGTAATAAATCTTTTGTCGGCCGCTCTTTGATTTATGTGAAAAATGACCGTAAATTTGAGGTTAGGTCGTCAAGGGCGGATGTGTTCCAATCAAATATGTCTCCACAATTACATGCCGTTTGGGGCGATCGTTTCTGAAATT